TGTATGTGCCTGTCCCCAAGTCAGGAGCCTGTAATTCAGTGGTTGTTGTTTTTTGCTGTATATCATATCTGTTTTTCGATAATTGTTTAGTACATACACCAAACTGTAAGTTTCTCATTTGAATTGATTTACATTTGTCATTTCGGGCCCTTTTAGGGCTGACTATGCGGTATGGGTTCTGCTCATTGTTGAAGGCCGTACAGTGACCTATAGTTGTTTATGTCATTTGGTCTTTGATGGAGAGTTGTCTCATTGGCAATCATACCACATTTTCTTATTGTAATAAACACTAGACTATAGTTTTGTAGTGATTTTTATCAACAGTTTTTTATCAAGAAGAACCTGTTTTTCGTATAACATTGAAAACAATCCTCAGATAAAATTCCTTGAAGAGACACCTCTCTTATCATGTTGAACTGTGTATACTTATATTGTGCAGCTGCATTCAATTTTAACACAGATCGCAAACCGTGTATTAATTTAGAAAAAATCGGTTCAGTACATCTGAGCTGCAATGCTAAATTGAATTTCCAATCTAAATTATATATACTTTAGATTTATTCACCTATTTGAGTGATTTGCTTTCTTAAAAATGAATAACTGAAAGGGCATAATCAGCTGGGCAACGATGCGCACCCTTGAAATGGTATTGACGTAGAAAGAAAAGTAGTGGTACATTCAGCTGAAGACTGTATCTGGGTAGGTTAATTATCGTAAATTGTCCTGGTTCGCAATTAAGGCATTGAAAGGAGTATATATGAAATTAAGAAGATGTGGTATGATTGTCAATGAGACAAATCTCCACTTGAGACTAAATGACACAGAACTAACAACTAACAACTATAGGTAACAATAAGCGAAACCTACACCGCATGCAAGGGGTAGTTCATCTTTCGATGTGTTTAACACTTTACAATGACAATGAAGACTGAAATCTTCTCAAATTATATAATGTAGTAGTGTATGTATAAAGGTGTTGATAATGAGTACTACGTTTAATACGACAGATCTAATGGTCAATCATTAAGATAATGATAGGCGAATAATGACTTATTTACTGTGGAAATCGAAGATCGATATATTACTAATACGATAATGATGATGACATGTATAGAATTATCCGGACACAGTTAGGTCAATTAGATAGAATGATTGTAAGAACGAATTAGTACAAAATACTGACACAGATTATTTAAAACCAATAAAAGGCTCACTATTTAAGCTAAGAATGAAAATAAGAAGTTCTACTGTTAGAATCTAGACTCATTGATCATACCCATCCTAAAAACGGACCTTCAATTGAAAAAAAAACCTGTTGATGACATACATACCCTATTATCTTCAGGGTATTCTCACAAGTAATGAACTGGAATCATTAATTTCCCGAGTCATATGAAGTTCAAATGTACATTTCAAACTGATGAAACAGTGAACATGAGATTTAACAAACCGACAAACCGTGAAACAAGCATACAAGGCAATTCATATGTTCTTGCGACACTTCTTGAAATAAAAAAAAGTTTCAATAAAAACCTTAAAACTTTAAACGATAAAATTGAATTGGTAACTGTGAAAAACGAAAGCGAGATCAAGCGTCTTGTTGTTGATAAAATGTGAGAAAGATCAAGACAAAAAGATACGTAAGAGTGAAGAACAAAGACAAAATGTTTTTCGTTAAAACAATAAACTGACTGGAATTGATATAGATTGGAAATGTAAAACACTTGGAAAAATACAATGTCTTACAGTGAAGCTTTAAATCGAAGTGCTGATGAAAATATACAAATATAGACGAAAATTGTCTACTGTGAACTTGATAACCATCAGAGTTTACTTTACGAAAACAACAATATTAATAGCGCAAGGAAGGGGTCATATAATCAGGAAAACACAACAACAAACACTTATATACATTAATACGCACAACTAAATACAATGGACAGACCGGTGTCAACAGAACAGGTTTAACAAATTCAAACACATGTCACAAACGGAGATACCAGTGTATTTCGTAGTGTTGCAAGAACACGTTCCAGAAGAATTGTGCTTTACATTCTAACTGATGGTAAACCCTTTGGACTAGTTGATACTGCAATTAGACCATTTGCGTCAATTAAAGGTGTTAATATAACTTTTATAAAACTGCCGACGAAGCGACAATACAAAGACATTGAAACATATACCATTTGTGCTAACATCAATGAGAGGGATTTTGCTGTAATAGACCGATGACTTCTTTTGGCCGCAAGGCGTGTATTGGTAGGACTACATCCCACAAAACAAACATTCATTACATAACATTTATAAATAAGAAGATGTGGTATGAGTGCCAATAAGACAACTCTCCATCCAAAGTCACAATGTATAAAAAGTTAACAATTATAGGTCAAAGTACGGCCTTCAATACGGAGCCTTGGCTCACACCGAACAGCAAGCTATAAAGGGCCCCAAAACGACTAGTGTAAAACAATTCAAACAGGAAAATCACCGGTCTAATCTATATAAAAAACGAGAAACGAGAAACACTTATGAACCACACAAACAAACGACAACCACCGAACGACAGGCTCCTGACCCAGGACATGTATGTTTAATCTAAAGCTATTTTTGACAACCAAAATGCAGAACAAACCATGTTAACATCTACATTATAACAAATAGCTAGTAATAGTCATGTGCAAATATTCTCTTAAAAATAAAAAAACAAACCAAAAAGAAGGCTTTGACAGGCCACATATAGTTTGAACATGTTGAATAAAATAAAACTGTAGAGCAAACCCTGTTGACCTCTACCATTTAGTCTACAATGGTCGACTAAATAAAAAGAAGTATTACTACCAAGAGCACGGCATGTTATTTACTTTAGATGTCAAATCTTATATAAAGCTGAAAGGCATTACACTTCAATCTTCTCATCTTTTGAATCACAGCTAATTAGGGCACTACTCTGGCAGCTGCCGAAGTTGCAGCCCAATTCTAAAACTGTGAGCCTTATACAGATTTGCCTCCAAACCAGAAAAAAATGATAAGCTTTTCAAAGAGGAATTAAAGTAGAATGATAAAACAGGCTTCCCACACGGAAATCTAAATAGAGGACCTAGTTTATATAATATTGAAATATTTCTCTGAAAATACTTTATCATTTAGTTTAAACAAAAACCTCGGGTATCCGAAATGGAGTACTAAATACTTACCTGTTTTAGATAAGGATTGTAATAAAATGTCACTGACATACCATAATTACTACTTCAGAGAATCATTTGATCATAAAAACTATATTTTTTCGTTAAATAATCAAGAATTTTCTCAATATACTGCCGAAATTTTACCGAAAGGAACTTACTTTAAATAATCAAATTTAAACGGTAACAACTGTCCTTTCCTGGGTTTAGATATTTCGGTTTTACAAGGGAAACTCCACACTAAAATTTACGACAAAAGGGACGATTTTTCGTTCCCTATTGTTAATTTTCCCTTTTTGGATGGTGATTTTCCTTTGGCACCATCTTACGGTGTTTATATTTCACAACTCGTTCGCTATGCCTGTGTCTGTTGTGACGTTTTTGATTTTAACGAACGTAATCTATGGTAAATTATTAAGCCAGGGATTTCGTTACCACAAATTACTTAAAACCTTTACTAAATTCTTCCACAGATATAAAGATTTGGTTTCGAAGTTTGGTTGTACCTGTAGAAAACTTATTTCAAACGGGATTGGACATCCTCATTTTTACGGCAATATTGTTTACCGTGCCCGGAAATTTAGAAACGATCCTGGTAAACTTATCGATCCTTTAAATAAACTTATTCTAACAGGTTACCAATTCAACACTGTAATTAGATCATTAAATATTGTTTTTGTTGATACTAATATTGATTTTGTTATCAGTAAATAAAAAGAAAACTAAATATTATTGTTATATACATATACACATTCATGGATCTACAATCTGTCGATACCTGTATCTTGGCATTGCACAAGGTCATCTTTTTCTCTGACTGTTTATGACGTCTTTACACTAAATCCATTGGATGTTGGATGTGTACGGATTGATAATTTAGTCTTAGATGTATGATTTTTTTATTAGTTGTTAGTGGCTTTGGACTAGCTGTCAGTAACTGCGAGTACTCTCAGATCTGTACTTAGTGTCTTTTTGTTGTTTGGATGTACAAGTACCCGGCCACGTCCACTTGTATTTGTAGTATTTGTATTTTTATCCATTTGATGAGTTAAGCCTCTTTCAACTGATTTTTATAGTTCGTTCTTATGTTGTACTGTTACACCACAGTCCAAAGTTAGGGGGAGGGTTGTGATCCCGCTAACATGTTTAACCCCGCCACATTCTGTATGTATGTGCCTGTCCCAAGTCAGGAGCCTGTAATTCAGTGGTTGTCGTTTGTTTATGTGTTACATATTTGTTTTTCGTTCATTTTTTGTACATAAATTAGGCCGTTAGTTTTCTCGTTTGAATTGTTTTACATTGTCATTTCGGGGCCTTTTATAGCTGACTGTGCGGTATGGGCTTTGCTCATTGTTGAATGCCGTACGATGACCTATAGTTGTTAATTTCTGTGTCATTTAATCTCTTGTGGAGAGTTGTCTCATTGGCAATCATACCACATCTTCTTTTTTATATAAAACAGTTTTTTTTTCAATCAAGAATTTGAGTTATGTAAACCTAAAAGTGCAAAGTTATTTAAGATGAATATAATAATAAAACGATTTGTACAGTACCATTTTTATCAGTTTTATTTTAAACCTAAACGCAATAAATATAATTTTTCACTTGCAGTTCTGGTGGAATGGTCTAAAGCGGTATATACTTTTTCGACAGATGGCACTTCAATGCGAACAATACGACTGTTCATTGTCATTTGAAGTATTGCTGCTTTGTAGAAAAACTTCGAAATATATATCGTCCTGATTGAGCATGCAATATTTCTCATTATAGACGTAAGGAAAGCAATAACCAAGTAATTAATCAAAATATAAAGAGAACTTTTAAATTAAAATTCTTTTATTATGTTGAACACTTTTTCTTTTTTCTGTGAGATTATAATTTAACATTGCATTCAACTTCCGAGGAGAATATTGTCGCTCATAGCAAGCATTCTAGCCTCATGTAAAAGAAATTGTTATTTTCATAACTGCTTTATTTTAAACAATAATCATCTGAAAAAAAAATCCAATCTCTATTTCCGTCAAAATTTAACACACATGACGTGCATATGATAGGTATGCCAATAACATTAATCATGATACATTTTAAAGTAATTAACTAACAATTATAACATACTTTTTGCTATATTTAGACATTTATATGCCAATGTTAAAAGGTACTCATTATCAGTGATGAAATATTTTTCTTTTATTGTTAATTCAAGGTCTCGTAAAGCGATAATTTTACCGCTGTGATCCCCAAGATGATGTAAGCAAAAGTAATATAAAACTTTCAAGTACACAACTGGTGGAAACAGCTGAACTCCACCGGTTTTTTTCCTGATTAAAGGGGCCAATTCTGTCGGTAATAAATGAAAAGGTTCAACCATAATTACATTACCAATGATGAAATATTTGCACGTCCATAATAATCTTAATGTCTGCTTTAATTTTTGAAACATGCTTTCAGTTTAATATCATTTTTTAAGCTCATCAATATCTTATCTGGTGTACATTTAGAAAGACTGTAGATTACTATATCAATACATTCTCTGTATCGGCCACATTTATAAAACAAGGATGCTAACAGTATCCAAGCATGGACGGACGAGGAATACACACCTGTCTTGAAGTATCGTAACATTATCTGGTATTGTCTATAAAAATCCTTATTTCTTCCCTCAAGGTATTGATGATCTTGATTTTGCATCGATCCCGTTGCTAACAGTGATAAAAGGTAGGTTGATAGATGCTTGTCTTGTAGATTTACTGTACGAGTTACGACTTGTTTAATTGATAAAGATGGTGATATACTTTTTAAAAGTACAACAGAATAATGCAGGCATGTTAATGAAGATGTTGTCAGATAAGGCTCAAATGAGTTTTCGTGTACTCTTCTGTAATTTTCAAATGTAATCGAATGAAAAACATAATTCCATGGTGATCGGTAAATCCCATACAGTGTATCAAGTAATGACTTATGCTGTATGGGTGAAAATCTACCTTCAAATAGATTGTTATCAGGGATAAAGTAATGAATGCATGTTTCATATTCAACGCAGTAGATTAATCGCCTCCAGCAACTCATGAAACATGTTTCTAAATTTTCGGGTTTCCATTTGATGGGACTCGATTCTTCGCATAGCCAAAACATTATTGTTTTAAGAAAATAAGAGCAAATGAGATCATAATGTTCCTGCTTGATAAAATCTTTCAAAAGAATTTTCAACAACGCATAACATACTAGCTGGGTGTGCGAAAACGAATATATCAGCAGTCTTTCTGCGACCGAAAACGATATTCGCCATTCCAGATCTTCATCAACTGAACCCTTGCTTCCAATAGGAACAAACAAAATGCCGTATTGTACAATAGATTGAGTCAATTCATAATCGGGCCATGCAGATTTAGATCTGAATTTCCACTTTTTGCCAGGTTTTACCCATTTCTTGCATCGGAAACTGTATGCTAAATCAAATGTTTTATATTTTGAAGTCACACATGGACCGTGGACAATCAGTTCATCATCACCCTGAGATAAGACGTATTTCCGAAAAAGATTATTTGAGACATATGATCCCAGTTGAAAAAGTTCACACCATTTTGCTAATAGCGGTAAGTATCTTTCGGATGTTTCATAAACCTTTAGCTTTGTGAATCCGGGCTTAGTGTCTGTGGTGTCCATTACAAGTGTAAGTTCATGTAAAGAGGAAGACACATCATGTATACTCTCGTATACACTAACATTTTTATCGACAATCATCAAATCGTAGTCGCTGCCTTCTAGATCTAGTCCTTCCGCTTTACTCCCGCTACTTATAAACGTTTGCTGTATATTCTCCAAAACATAATCCAAAGCCATAAATACCTTTCTTCTTGCCTTTACAACCTCATCTGATCCAACAATACAACATACATAATGATAAAACTGAAGTGAAAGTTCTCTGTCCTCCATGTCTATATTGCACAAATTCCAAACTGATTTCAACAGCTCATACTAAGATATAAGAAGAAAACAGTCCTAATTGAATAATGATGCAATGATATTTTATATATAATAACAGACAATTTAAGCATAAAGTACTAGATGGGGTTGAATAGTTTTGCAATTTTGAATTTAACTGTCGATTATAATCAATCATTGTATCAATTTTATCATTGCATGAACATACTGTAATCACTAATAATGTACATGGATCTGGCATTTTATCTCACCTGTCCCAAAAGATCAAAAGATCAATTTGAGGTGTGCCATCACTTGGAGTCTGTCGTCTGTGGTCATGGTTAAGTGTTTAATATTAATGTTTATTTTCTTTCAGAATAATCAATATAAATTAGTAGTTTTATCATATGTATTTTAAGGTTCATCATTTCTTCTATTCTCTTCTGTATATCTTCTTAGTACTGTAGTTCTACCTTTTTTTCTGGTTCATAAGTCAGTCGTCAGTCAGACATATGTCAAGTTATCTTCTATTGGTCATATTCAGTGAGTTCATAGTTTTACCACAGTTTTTGAATAGCTTGTGAAAGACAAGCTATATTTCATATACGCACAGCATACGAATATAAAATGTACAAATAAATTAATTATGTTATTTTCCTTCTCATTTTTTGTAACCAATTTTTAAAGTATTTGACACAAGCATGGACAAATCAATTTGTACCAAAACGATTGATTGGGTGTTTAATACCTATTCTCTGTAACCACTTAAACTCTTTCGGCACACACAGTCACCGATCTTGCTGAAAATGGGTTGAGATGTATATCCTTATAGCCTGGTCAGAAACATAATGCCAACCGATATATATATATAAATATATATAAAAGTCTAAATTGAAAACAACGTTCAAACCTATGATTGCGTTGGATAAAAACCGCAGTTTTCATACGTGTGCATGTAAAACAAATTTCTTGGTAGAGGAGTCTAAATACAGCACAAACAACAATTTCCATAACCAAAAAAAGTTAAAAAGTCTATTGTAACAAAACGCATTTGACTAACAGGTCGAACAACTGATGTTCTTAAACCCTGCTGACTGCCATTGGCGATTGCCAAATAAATTGATCACCAGATCTAACGAAATGGATCTTAATATATATATATATATATATATGCGTCGTTACCATAGTAACAGGGGACAAAGTAGGGGTTTTTGAAAAAAAATACAATATTAAGTGTGGTGTTGTTGACTTATGTGGCTACATCTATGAAAAAGAAACACAAGAACAATTAATTTCAGTCTTGTTTATCAAAAACAACATTATTGGGAATCTACCTAGAAATGTGTGAAATTAATTTCTTAACAAATACAATTGTGCAATATTCCTTACTAAACAAATGATCTCCCATTGGTATGTTTATAACTCTTCAGTGCAAAGGTAAAAAGAGTGTTCAGTGAAATAATATGGCAGAAAGCTATCTGCTACTTAAATATAATTTATTACTGAATTTTATCCTTGCAGAAAAATAGTTTTAAGTGTAATAGAAATTCATTGGTATAAGATGATAATGTGAATTTGTGTCCGGTCCTGTCATGATATTGATAATATTGTCATTTGTGAAAACCATTTACTTGAACTAATCAATCGTGGATATAGTAGACAGCGAACGGTAAAACGTTGAATAACATCAAGTTTAGCAGTTCACAACAATTAATCTTAGAAAGCAAACCATCGTTTGCAGGAGCAACAGGTCCAAAATGTCTTCATGGCAAGAAGCATTGTACATGTTGTACTTTCCATTGACACAGGTTAGTTCAGCTCAAATCAATTATTTACATCATTTTTTTCATCCCCGCAAAAAATGACAACTTCTACATAATACTTCTTAACTTTAATATGTTGAAGATTACAAAATGACAACATTATTCCTAAGGGGACGACTATCTGATTTTTTAGGGGAAGAAAAGGGGGAGGCAGGATGATTTTGAAAATGAATAACTTTGCCTGGTAAGAATTGAAAATAAATGACTTTGCACAAGACAGGATGAAAATTAATATTCTGCAACACATAACGCAGGATAGTTGAGGATACATTTGTGTACAAAAGTTAGAATTAATTTTCTCACTGCAAAAAGAAATAAGTATGTGTAACAACAGATGAAAATAAATGATCAGTTCGAAAAGAAAAAAATCAACCTGAACCCCCTCCCCCTTTTCAGGAGATAAAAATAAGCATGTGTAGCAACAGACAAAATGAATGATCAATTCGGGAAAAGAATCCACCTGAACACCCCCCCCCCCCCCCCCCTTTTCCCCCAGAATATCCAAGTCGTTCCCTGGCGTTATTTAATAAGGTTTTAAAGGTCGTATATATAAACATGTTAATATCAAACAAGTACACTGCATGGACATACAAAACCACTTGTCGTGTTTTTTTGCTACATATTTCATATAAAACCCTATTTAGAAAAAGAAAATATTGCGGTGTCATTTCTTGTTCGAATTTAGTCAAATTGATACCATTAGAAAGAGCGTTGTCGCCTTTTTATTTGTTTATTTGGTAAAAAATGTGTCTCAAAGTATAGTAATGGACGACAAGAAGAACAATTTAGAGTCCAGAAGTGACACAAAAAGAAATTTAGCGTCAAGAAATCTAATTATTATTTTTTGCAATTAAAAAGAAATAGAAACATGCACTTGAGCGATTTCCTAATTTATGTGTTTGAGAGTTATTATACTGATAGAAGAAGAACATGAACATTTTTTAAGGAAAATATGCAATGTTCAGTTTTTTCTATTATGTTCAAGCATATAGATACAATGTAATATTATGCGACTTTCATACAAGTGAGAGGTTTAGCTGGCTATAAAACCAGGTTTAATCCACCATGTTCTACATAAGGACATGTCTGTACCAAGTCAGGAATATGAACGTTGTTTTCCATTCGTTTGATGTGTTTGGGCTTTTGATTTTGCCATTTGATTAGTGACTTTCCGTTTTGTTTTTCCTTGGAATTCAGTATTTTTGTTATTCTACTTTTTATATACTAGTTTTCATCATAGTTTATACGTAGATGTATCGAGATTTACAGAAGTTAGAGCGACAGTCGAAAATTGATAAATCTCAACCATTCTATCGAAAGGGAAAACATGTCATTTGGTGTGACTTCAAAAATAAATCTTAAAAGTATAAGTAGCACCGAGTTAGATCCATCTTTCAGAAATAAACTTTTTATACACTATTGTTATCTACTTTTCGCTAATTAGTAAGATCGATTATTTGTGTTTTTAAAATTTAAGATATCATTTAAAACATTTCCTATCATGGATTTTTTATACATGCACTTTTAAATTTACTGTGAAAGGATACTTTCCAAGAGATGTACACTGGCAAAATGTTACGTAATGCAACTTAATTGCTGGTAAACAGATTTTATGCATAAAATATGCTTGATATGATATACTTTAGTAAGGTCATCATTAAATCAAAGTTGATTCGTTGTTTCTTGACCCATCATGTATGAACTGGTTAAATAGGTATGCATTTTTGTTTCTAGAATATTTTTAAAAGAAATAAACATTTTAAACATTTTTACCACATGTTTACATTAAAACATTTAAAACAATAACATAGTCATATATTGTAGGAAGTGCCAATTTTGTTAAGGTTGGTCAGGAAACTGTGAACGAACAATTTTCTATTTATTGCTTGAGATCTCTTTAAAAGGCATAAATTCCTTATTAGAATGAAGAAATTATCTTTTATACTTTTAGTTGCAATTTACCACTGATACAATAGCACCAAACCAATTAGATGATCCACAAGATGATGTCATTCCAATGAAAAGGACTAGAAGATCAGCAAAAGAGGTAAAACAATACATTTTTCAGAGAGCTTTTCATTATAAGTGATTGTATATTTCGAAAAAAGATAATTTACTGATATGTATTCTATATACTAATTACATGTAATAAGATAAGAAGATGTGATATGATGAGACAACTATCCATCGGAGTCCCTATGAGGTGGATATTTGCAACAAAAGGTCACCTTTCTGCCTTCAACAATGATCAAACCCCATGCCTATAGTAATCTATGAAATGTCCCGAAATGACAAAATGTGAAACAATACACTAATTATATGTTTGTTGCACGCTTCTGAAATTTTAGACCAGAAGATAATGTAGAAATATATTGGCATCCATCCAAATGTTCATATTTTGTCCTTTTTAACATGTTTAACGATAGATGTTTGTTGCTCAACATCATGCAAATATCAAATGCCTATGCAGGACAATTTTAACAGTATAGAAACTTATGGGGAAAAAGGTAGGATCGGACACAACGTGCAAGAAATTGGAATCTTATGAAGAGTTTGGTAATAGATAGGGACACCTAATTTCTCCTTCTCATTCTCTCTCAACGTTTGTGACTAATTTCCCTGATTTTCCAATGATATTTCAAATTTTCTATACTTCATCCCAGTCTACCCCTATTGCAGGACTGTTTTTGAAATTTTCTATTTTTTTAATTTCACCTCAGAAATCATCTTTATATACACACTCATCATTCAATAATACAATATTATTCAAAATGTATAGCTATACATGTTTTGCTAGTTCAACATTCAGTTTAAGAAAACAAGCTCATAATATAGGTAAATTTTTCCTTATTGAAAAAAAGGTTAGACGGTCAACTATCATTTGTTTATAGTCATTTATCATAGATAGAGGATCAACCTCTGACTCGTTTTGTTCCATTCATTTATTTTGTTGATTTATATCAAATTATTACCTTTAATTAATTTTTGATCAGTAGACTATTGCAGGACCTACCTATTAATCTTTATTTTGTTCTCATCCGCAATATGCATGAGATGTTTGCCACTGAACATAAAGCAAACCACAATTAATCGATCATTTTATTTATAAAAACTTATACCCAATGATATTGATTGATTGCATTTGTAATAAATATTTGTGTCCGTGCCTCACACGAAGATTTTTTTAAGGTGGGCTTTTCCTGACCTGTCAATTTTCTTATTGTATCTAATTGTGGCTAATTCCAAACTGTCAACACCAAGTGGTACTTTGACCTTTAATCTTCACTACAGCATTTTAATAATACCGTCTGGTAAAAAGCATCATTCTTTGACATGTGCATTAAATTGAAAACTTATAGGAAGCAAGTTCTTAAATGAGAGATTTATTCAATTGTAGAGCATTTTCTTGATTAATGCATATTACTTGTTGTTTCTATGGCAAAACTAATTCTACCTGGAATATTATTGATATTTCTATAAAAAAAAACAACATAACCTGCATAATGTAAGCAAAATTGTTTATTGCTATTTGTATCATAAGTATAAGTTCATTAAAATTAATTTGTCAAAATTAGCACTTTTCAGCAAATATGCAAATGGACCGCTTGCTTCCATGGCAACACATTAAATGGAAAATACTGCATGACTTGAATATATGATTTTTCAAATAAATTTTTCTCTGTACTGAGTATATTTTTCATGTTCATAAATACAGACAGAGAAACTTCTTCATACACAATACTTTTATACAGATTAAAGGAATTGTGTATTTGTTTCCTTGGTAAAGCAAATATGAAGTACTATACTAGCAAAATTACTTATATATATGTACACAGTAAAACGTAATTAAGGTTGTTTTAGTTTTTCTTCTTTTGTGCATATTTAAGAAACAAACTGAACATTTTTTCAAAATTGTTCAAATTTGTGCATAATGATTAAACTGTTTCGATAGCAACACAGTTAAAACTATAAAACCCTTATATATAAATATGTTTAAACAATTTTATGAAAACATTAATTTCTACAAAAGAGGGACGAAAGATACCAGAGGGACAGTCAAACTCACAGATCGAAAACAAACTGACAACGCCATGGCCAAAAATAAAAAGACAAACAGACAAATAATAGTACAGATGACACAACATAGAAAACTAAAGACTAAGCAACACGATCCCCACCAAAAACTGGGGGTGATCTCAGGTGCTCCGGAAGGGTAAGCAGATCCCGCTCCACATGTGGCACCCGTCGTGTTGCCTATGTTATTATAAATCCGGTAAATAGTCTAATTCGGTAAGTCACACTCGTGAAAAGGGAAAGGCATTGTAGTAACGACATAAGGAACATATCCGATATCATCTGTGAAACGGTTATTTCATAACGGTCAACCAACTCGTGATGGCGTCCGTAAAATTTACGAAGGGATGATTTCAACTTCACCATTTGGAACTCTTGGCTTAATAGCTTACTTGTGAGCAGCAATCCTCTATCAAGGAAATCATGATAGAAAACACAAGCCCGGGAATATCGTATCAATTGGGAGATATATACTCCGTATGCAGGCGCTGCTGGAATGTTGCTACATAGAAATGGAAAGTTCACAATTGGGAAGCTGAAATCATCTCTTTTGTCGTAAAGTTTTGTTTTCAACCGACCCTCATTGTCAATTTCTAGATGTAAGTCAAGATATGAGGCAGACTTAACTGTATCTGTAGTATCCTTTATCTCTAGTTCGATGGGATAGATTCGTTCAACATAGTCATCAAATTTTGTATTATTTAGTGAAAGAACATCATCTATATAGCGGAACGTAGAGTTAAAGGATATTGCTAACTTCTTATCTTTCTTCTTAAGAAGTTCCTGTATGAAGTCAGCCTCATAATAATAAAGAAACAAGACGGCAAGAAGAGGGGCACAATTGGTTCCCATTGGAATTCCGACAGTCAGTTGAAAAACACGTCCTCCAAACGTAACAAATATGTTGTCAATCAAGAAATCAAGCATCTTGATAATGTCAGTTTCAGATAATTTTTTGTTTGAATCAGAGTGATTCTTTACAAAGTAGGATTTATCCCTCCCCAAGACAAGATACTTGTATCTACGTTCGCCATTCTTTTTAATGAAACAAAGTAATACCAACTCTTTCAATTTGTCTTTTAGTTTGGAATGGGGAATACTTGTGGAAAGTGTAGAAAAGTCAAATGTTTTAATACTATTGCAAGATGAGAGAGTCTTAGATTGTATGTACTCTAAAAGATCTTTGGAATTTTTTAGTATCCACATCTGATTCACGCCACCTCTAGAATAGGCAGTTTCACAATAACTTTGGAGCCCGGCTTTGATTTTTGATAAAATAGAGGTTAATAATTTAGAAAGAGGATTCGTGGAGCACTTGGAAGACCCAGCAATATACCGTTGTTTGTAAGGACACTTATGTAGTTTAGGTATCCAATACAGTGATGGAAGATCCAGTTCTTCATCTTTGGTTGAAATTCCAAAGGAACATAGAACAGACCTATGATTATCCAGGATTTCTTCTTTTGTAAGTGTCGTGAGGGTATATGTTGAGTTTTCAAGTGAATTGTCAATACCTAATTCATTTATCAAGCAGTTTATGTAATGATATTTACACACAAAAACGATGTTGTTTGGGGCTTTATCTGCGGGGACAACAACATATTTGTCATGGAGGTAGGACAAGTGTTTTGTAACATTTGAGTCTTTAAAAATTGATGTAGCGTGGGTATTGATATGCCCATTTAGTTTCTTAATTCGGATTTGTATCAACGACCTCACAGCCTTAATCCATTCGGGAAGAGTATCTACGTCTTCTTTCTCGCTCTTAGCCCATTGCCTGGCAGAATCCTCGACTGAATCCATCAGTATTTTGAAGTTGTATTTCCAATTGATGGATTGAGGCTCACGATATTTCGGACCTTTGGATAACAAATTTCGCAGGGAAGTATTATTGACAATGTTGAGGTCTCCGGTAATAACGTGGCCAGCCGGATTATATGTGAATTGGGAACTAGCACAGGTGCAATCAGGAGGTTTAGACTTGAAGTCGTCAATGTTGAGATCCTGCAAAACGTGTTTGTAATTGAAAATTTTAGTTGCAATTGGTTTGGTATAGGTATAAGAAATACAAAGTGTACTTTTATTTTTTTTTTCTGACTACAAAATGAGGTTTTGAAACATTTTTTTTTTAATTTTGCAAAAGTGAATTTTGTAGAAAAACTGTAAAACTAAGCATTTTGTATCCATGGTAATAACATGATAAGACCAAACAGAGAACCAGTATTAAACAGCTAGGCTTTTATTTTAAGCATCATTGTTTTAGGAATATAATTTGCTTGAGATATAAATGAGTATTTTTTTATTTTCTATGTCATTTAACAAATATATGACATTTTTTCTCATGTCAAACTTTAGATCTTGATACAAGAAAAATGAAAATGAAAATAAATTGTATGACATGAACAATACAGTGAGTGCGACAAAATGCATCAACAGGGTTGACGGATTATCTTTCACAAGATTCCAACATTACATCAATTAGAAGCCGCCAAGCAAGGAACATTACAACACCACAACAATGTCAAATGTTTGACAGATATGTTCTATAAGAGAGTGAAAACAACACTAGACACTTGAAACATCGAGACAGTGAAACTTATCAATCCATAAATGTGAAAAGTAATAATTGCATTCATTAACCTTACAAAATTGAGTAATTTTTGAATTAAGGGTATATTTACCTGAATGAGAAAAAGTTCAGACATATCATTTTATTAAATCATTAGAGAGTAGATCGCTCGTTATAAACGCTTTCGTAAAACCAAACATACAATTAAGGATATAGTTGTATATATCATTAAATCGTTTCCTTTAGAAGTAAAGTTATAAGATGAATGGAACAATCATTGGAAAAAGAAATGATCATAGTTATTTTACCTGATTGTTCTTTCCTTCCTGAATCCTTTATATGGCTAAATGATACAACGTTTGATTAGTCTGTGGGTTTTTCCTTCTACTTTCGGTTTTCGTTAACTATACAGATATTTAAATGTGACGTAATGGATATGTTAACCCTTTCTTATGACAGGTAACTATAGTGTATACTGACCGTTCAGATAAAAATAAACAATATCTTTGTTTTAAATGGTTTACAGGCCTTATGTATATAATTGATTTTAATTCATAGTTTACATTTTTGTCCTTTGAAAAATTGGAAATTTTAACCTTTTAAAACTTTACCAGAATCTCTGTGAATATAAATTATTTGTGGCACTCGTCGTGTTGCTTATGTAAGTACAAATCCGGTGATAAGTCTGATTCGGTAGGTCACATTCAAAAAAATGAGGACGGGATTGTAGTTACAACAATTGGAACATATCCGTCGTCATCTGTGAAACAGATATTCCATAACGGTCAACCAATTTGTGATGGCGTCCGTAAAATTTGCGAAGGGATGATTTCAACTTCACCACTTGAAACCCTTGTAATGGCTTCTTTTTAAAAAAAACAACGGTCTATCAAGAAAATCATGATAGGAAATGCAAGCTCCGGAATGATTTATACTCCATATGCAGGTGTTTCTGGAACATAGAATTGGAATTTTCACAATTAGGAAGCTGATGTCATCTCTTTTGTCGTAAAGTTTTGTTTTCAACTGACTCGCATTTTCAATTTCTAGATGTAAGTCAAGATATAAGGCAGACCTAATTGTATCTGTTGTATCCTTTATTTCAAGTTCGATGGGATAGATGCGTTCAACATAGTCACCAAACTTGTATTATTTAGTGAGAGGACATCATCTATATAGCGAACGTGAAGTAAAAGGATAATGCTAGCTTCTTTTCATTCTTCCGTAGAAGCTCCTGTATGCAGTCGACCTCATATGAATAAGGGAACAAGTTGGCAACTTTACATAAATGATAATTTGGAGGCTGTACTTATGGTGTTTTCATTTCATAATAAGGGTGGTATTAATGATGGTAATAACGCTAACCAAAAATTCATTTGGCATTCTGAACCTAAATAGCAAGTTTAAACCAATTCAATTAAAATCATTATGAAGGCTATTCATTAAAATATATCATTTTGTATTGATTCCACAGAACACGGCTACCAGGGGGCAGATATGAATCATGTCGACATAGTGCTAGTAAATGAAAATAACAAAATTAATAAACCATCATAACGGAGGGTTTGAACAAAGCATTCCTATCTTGTTTTGGTATAAAACATATCATTAACACTGATAAACAAATAGTAAACAAACATATCATAGCCACATCACAGCTTAAGGCCTCTTCTGAACATTTGAAGGTCTCTATTATGTTTTGGTTACCTAAACTACATAAAAAACCAGTATAATATCGTTTCATCTCGGCCTCTACTAAGTGTTCTACAACCAAACTTTCAGTGCTTTTAACTAGTTCCTTGACTACTATCAAACAACTTATCATTAACTTGTGTAATAAAATATATGAAAATAGTGGAATTAACTATTATTGGAGTGTAAAAATTCTTTGGATGTATTAGATAAATTACGTGCTTTTGGTGGTCGTTTTGATTCTGTTGACAGTTTTGACTTTTCAACTCTTTACACTTCACTTCCACACAATCTTATTAAACAAAATGTTCCTATTTAATTAAATGATCGTTTGGTAAATCTGAATGCAAATATATTTGCTGCAACTCATTTAAATCCTTCTTCTCTAATGAGAAAGATAAATATCCTAGGTATACTTACTGGAGGTGTGATGAGATGATTGAAGCTGTTAATTTTCTCCTTGATTATATATATGTACGTTTGGGCAGCAAAGTTTATCGACAGGTTGTAGGTATTCCTATGGGCACTAATTGCGCCCCTTTAATAGCAGACTTGTTTTTGTACTGTTATGAATCACAGTTTATGACCAAACTCAGTAAAGACCCGTCTAAATTGCATTTAATTGATAAATTCAACAACACTTACCGTTATCTTGATGATATTTTTTCGTTAAATAATCAAGAATTTTCTCAATATACTGCCGAAATTTACCCAAAGGAACTTACTTTAAATAAATCAAATATAAACAGTAATAACTGTCCTTTCCTAGATTTAGATATTTCAGTTTTACACGGGTAACTCTACACTAAATTTACGACAAAAGGGACGAATTTTCGTTCCCTATTGTTAATTTTTCCTTTTTTTTGACGGTGTTTATATATCACAACACGTTCACTATGAAAGTGTTTGTTGTAACGTTTTGGGTTTCAATCAACGTAATCTATGTATTACTGGTAGATTATTAAGTCAGGGATTTCATTTCGTTACCACAAATGACTTAAAACTTTTACTAAAGTCTTCCATAGATATAAAGATTTGGTTTTGATGTTTGGTTGTACCTGTAGAAAACTTATTTCAAACAGGATAGCACATCCTCATTTTTACTGAGATGTTGTTTACCAAGCCCGGAAATTTGGAAACGATCCGGGTAAACTTGTCGATCCTTTAAGTAAACTTATTTTAAAGGTTAAACACTGTAATTAGATCTTTGAATATTGTTTTTATTTAAATTAATATCAGTAAATTCAAATCAAACTAAATAGTATTTTTATATACATCTGCACATTCATGATAAACCACAGTATACAAAACACAACATATAAAACTAAAGTCCAAGCGTCATTTCCAATTTTCTAGATGTAAAATAAAAGTACAAAGCAGACTTAATTATATATGGTGTGTCTTTTATTTGGGGGTCATTGGGATACAAACACTTCCCAATATAACTTTAGCTGTATTTGCCAAAACATGTCAGAATTTAGGGTCGTCAATAATCCAGGACTTTATACTTATGCCTTTTAACTTTTTTAATTTGAGCACCACTTATGAGTCTTTTAAAAACGAATCGCGCGTTTGGCGAACACAATAATAAGCCTTGTACATGTTGTATCTTTGACAATCAACACAGTCACCAAACTTTGATTTTTTCAGTGATGGTATATTATTTATATAGCGTAATGTGAAGCTAAATGTAATTCCAGTATTTTTTAAATTTTCTTTTAGAAACAGTCCTTTATAAATTCTGCCTGATAAGGATAAAAATTGACAAACATAGAGGCACAACTAGTTCCCGTAGGAAGTAATCAGAGGGTTAGATATGTTACAAACTTGTTGAAATTCGTAAATATCGTTATTCACTGGACACTGATGATTATCGATTTGGAAATTTAATAAAAGGTGACTGGAATCATTAAACTATGCAGAATGCAGAATTTTGGATAGTTTAAACAAATCGGTTTGTAAGTAACTTATTTTGTAATTTGTAAAAAAACTGCATGTTGTTAAAAGGTTGGTATCGCTCATAACTGGGACGCCCCATCAAATGAGGAGCAATATCAATATTTCGGTCTGGTTTCGGTCGACAATGTTGTTTAAACGGTAACAATATGCTCTATCAACCCCACTGTTATGTATTATTAAAAAAAAAACTGTTACTATGCAGGTATATATTAGACCAGTTTGGATGTATGAACATTCTTATGACAAACATATCTTTAATATTGATAATTGATATATTTGACAAGCTTTTCTTACACAACTCAATTCTGATTATTATACTGGATATGTAACCCAGTATCAGAATCATTGAAGTGATAAATAAATTGGTAAAACCTACCTCTATTTTATTTATTTCTTATAACATCCCCATACTATGGTTTAGTGAAATCACAACTATAACCACCAAATATGTTTGTGCATTCATATTTCACTATTCAGCCCCATTCTACTATTTAGTCAGACGTCAGGCGATACCCTGATATACCCTGTCTTTTGTTTTTTTCCTCTGGTTTTGTAGTTAACGTATTTTATCGGGTACTTGATGACGGATAGCGTTTGACGTCTTTAGCCGAACAGTTTTATCTTTTTTTACTTTATTCTATTCCTGTTTGCTGGTTCATATTCTGGACGCCAGAATCAAATACGGATAAAAAAAACAAATAATGAAACTGAGAAATGGAACAATACTTAATACTAAACTTGTTCAAAGCGTATCTATACGTCTCAATCTTCAAAATCGCTTATCTAAAAATACTACAATCGCTAACATTTTTAATAATAAAAATCGTGGTTACCCTTCTATCGATAAGTGTCATGCCAAAAAATGACTTACATGTCCCCGTCTTTCCACCAACAATACGGTAAGATCCACGTTTAATGGTCGCACATTTTCCGTAAATTTTGAAACTGATATCCAATGAAAAACTAACAGCATTATCTATTTACGCACATGAAACAAAGCGAGATGCGGTATTCAGTACGTAGGTGAAATTGGACGCTATTTATCTAAACGCACGCAAGAACACCTTTATCGTTTTAAAAGACCCCATAAATTCAAAAGTATCATTTATCAACACCTTAAGAAGCACAATCATTCTATTAAATATTTAACAGTACAACCTTTAGAAGTAGTAAATAAGCAGCCTGGGGAATCTCATTCAAAGTTTGTACGATCACGGAAAATAATTGAATTAAATTGGATTAAAAAATTACAGACAGTCTATCCTCTCGGTCTTAATGATAACATCATGGGAATTGGTAATATATCAAGAACCGATTCTGTTAACATTTTGGATATAGTTTCTAAAACAGTTCGTAAAACCGTTCTCATGGACGTAGAATAAATCGCAACAAAAGAAAATTTCGTAACTATACGAATATTTCGTAACTAATTTCTGTTTCAAAAAACAACGGTAGACATTATCTGTTAACCAAGCTCTGCTCTTTACCTGTTAATAAATTACATCAAATTAAAGAGGATTGCAACATAATTCCATATTGCATTCGTAAGTATGAAATCGTCCAAATTATAATTGCATATTGTTATTCTAAACTGTTTCCCAAAATTGATCGTCCTGAAGATCACAATTTTTTTTTTATTACAATCAAATATGTCAATAAAGGTTTTGATTTTGTAAATATTGCCGGTATTTTTGATGATCATTCTGTTAAAGAACAAATTCCTGGCTATTTTGATAATACTGA